CAAGACACTTGTATTTTCTTAGTATACACACCCGCCTAAAGGCTTGTGTTTATACCGAAAAATTCAAATGTCTTGTGGGATATAATTATTCCATAAGGGATCACTGTTCCACCGTTTTGTTACTTTCCAGTTGCAAAATTCGTACGTTATTCATGTCATCTGGACTGGAGCCCTAAACAACTCAACCCAAGCAAGTAAGCGGTAGGGCTATAGCCCTTCCTCCCCCTCTGCGGTCCCAGACTTTATTTGTGGTTTTGTACATATCCTTCAGCAGCCTGAAATGCCAGTCATCCCCCACCATCAGCTTAATCCCCGGCCGATTAGGCTGAAGGCGGAAGATGACTGACATATGACGCCAACCTTTCAGCATCCTCGGAGACCCAGGGGCAGTTAGTTGGGACGACGCGATATTTTTGGGCGACGCAATATTTTCGGGAGAAAGTTTACTTCTTGATGTAAACTTTCGCCCGAAAATATCGCGTCGCCCGAAAATATCGCGTAGAATAACTGCCCCTGGGTCTCCGAGGATGACCTTTCAAGTTTCAGCCAGCATGGGGGAAAGCTTCTTGAGCCGACTGTACGAGAGGATGATCAGCAGTTTCCTTCTCAAATTCAAGATGGCGGACGGTGAGTACTGTCGTGCAACGAATGTGTTAAAAATTGTCGTTTGCACAAAGGGTGTTATTATTCTTTTTCTTCAAAGTAAAACTAGGCCGAAGTATAAGTACTCTTATGTTATTTTTCGAATACAACTCCAGCTTCCTCCACGGAAAAGCGCTGGAAAATGCGCCCAGTCACTTCCTTCTTGTCTGAAGAGACGGTAATGAACAAAACACTCAAAGTTTGGAAGAGCTCGAAAAATTATTCTAAGTCTCCAAGAAATCGTTCCGTTTTTGTGTATTTTAGTCTAAAAGTATGCGACACTTAGAAAAAAAAATGGTAAAATTTAGAGTTATTCAAATCAGGTAAGTCTCAAAGGAGCGCTATTGTTTTCGCTATTGTTTAATTAAACAAAGAACTGTATGCATAATAAATGTATGGGGTTATACGGAAATCTTGCCCCTTAAAATCTAAATTGTTCCAAAATAATTTGCAAGGAAACAGCCTGAATCTGAATGTTTACAATGTATTTGAGAAAAACACTAGTTGCTGGCTTTATTATTGTTATATTATGTTGGCGTTATTACATTATTTTTAGAGTTAGTTCCTTTTAGGGTAGTCCATTTGGGGTGGTCCATGGACTGGGGGTCAGTGTTTTGTCGCATGCTTAGCGACATTGATGGAATTTTCCTCTCTCTAGAGTCCAAGTAGACAAGTACAGCGAAGGCACTGACTGTAATTCTCACTGAGTTACAATGTGGGTTTTGTTTGTAAATTTCAGGTCAGTCGGAGTAAACTCTTGAAGAACTGTTAAAATCTATCAAGCACATGATTCTAGTTGATAGAGGAGGAGTTGGTAAAAGTACTGTTTACAACACAGAAAGCATGCACTCTCTACAACAAAGGAAAGAAGGTAAGCTGAAATCTTTGTGATCTGTTGACTTACCTTTACCTGCATTAAGTCATTGATTCATACACAGTGGGAGGGGCTGGGAGTGGGGGAGAAGCTTTATTGGATGATTTTCTATGTTTTGGATTGGTCTTGTTTTCGTGTTTTATGTTTGGGAGATTTGCTATCAGAATATTTACAGTATTACACTGTAGCCACATGATATGTGAACTGGTGACACTTAGGGAAAAATCCTGTTGTGGATTAAAAATGTTCACTTTACCTTCTCCCAGCACCTTCTGTCTTTCCCCACTCTACCCAAGAGTCACCCTGGTGAAAATCTGTGGATCTGCCACTGGTAACAGAGAAGCTAGTGTCTTCAAGAATGTATTATTACAGCAGTACTACCTTGATCACAATAAATGGCTAATCTTTGTGTTATCTCTTTATCTTCCAGTTTGG